CATCACAATAGTAGTAGCGTAAAGGCCGTAAGTCGGGGGGCGGCCATAACATAAGGCTATTACTTTCATATCTCTCTCTATCTATAGATAGAGAGAGAGATCCGCTGCGTGAGCAACCCGACTGTGCGTTACATGTGCTCTACAGGCCGCACTCCATCTTTCTTCCCAACGAGCCCATTTATCTTTTGATTTTGAAGACGGGCGTTGCGTTCGGTTCGAAAGGCATGGTTTTCAGTATGTCTCCAGATAGGGCCCCCACTAGTCCGGCTAGCTAGTGAGCGGTTCTTTCGGGCGAGAAGCAGGCCGGGCCCTACGGGCGGGCATCTCCCGCAACGCAAGCTGCATTGTTCGCCACCACCCGAAAAGCAAAAGATTCGAGAGTCCAGGCTGAAAATACATGCATAGATAGTGGTCTAATGACAAGGGCCGACGACGGAAGCTCGGGACGGAGCCGTATGATGCGGAAGTCTCACGTACGGTTCCCTGAGAAGGGAGTGGCTACCTACAGGAGCTTCGACCGACCACCACCGGTCAATTCCGCTTTGGGGCCACCCCTTACTCTACCATTATTATAGGGGTATGGGGTTCGAGACAAAGAAAGATCAAGGCAGCATATCAGTTTTTCCTTTATACTTTACTTGGATCTGTTTTTATGCTATTAGCTATTCTGTTGATTCTTCTCCAAACGGGAACCACCGATTTACAAATATCATTAACTACAGAATTTAGTGAGCGGCGCCAAATCTTTCTATGGATTGCTTCTTTCGCCTCTTTCGCCGTCAAAGTTCCTATGGTACCAGTTCATATTTGGTTACCCGAAGCTCATGTAGAGGCACCTACGGCAGGATCCGTCATCTTGGCAGGAATTCCTTTAAAATTGGGAACCTACGGGTTTTTAAGATTTTCAATACCCATGTTTCCCGAAGCGACACTTTGTTTTACTCCTTTCATTTATACTTTAAGCGCGATTGCTATAATATATACTTCCTTGACCACTTCAAGACAGATCGATCTTAAGAAGATCATTGCTTACTCCTCAGTAGCCCATATGAATCTGGTGACTATTGGTATGTTTAGTCGGGCGGCGGCCGTTAGGTCACCTATTTTGAGTTATGGACACACAAGGCCAAAACATGTGTGCCGGGCGTGCGACCCATCAACCTACTAGCAATGGGGGAGAAAACATAGCATGTCGCAACAAAAGCTTGATTCGAGGCGTCAGCAAAACACTGCCGTCTGTTCCAAAAACAAAAGCCCCTTAGCGCCCCGGGACGGGAGTGGGGGACGGTCCTACGCGCAGGCAACAGCAGCACCGGCTCCACGAAGTAAGAATCGAATCTTTCTGTTGGCTTTCCCAATTCATTCGTAAATAAGAATTGAAGGGCTAGAAGCGAGCGCTTCTAGCTGCTTCGCCTGCTTCTTATTATGGCGGCTATGTTGGCGTAGCGAAAATGAACGAAAAGCGATATGAACGTGCTATTTTCAAATCGATTGATAGATAGTCTGATCTGTTCTGATAGATCGAAAGAGTAGGAATAGATAGAGAGGGAATCTATCAATAATAAGGGAAAAATCCCCTATTTCTATCTATTGATGAGACAACTATCTATTCTTGATCCATCAGAAAGAAATCGATATGTATGTATCTGATGGAGTCTACATCGTACGTAGAGCACCCAAGCGCTTTTTAGGCCAGCTCAGTTCTCTTATCCATCGGTCCAATGCACTGGGCTCATCTCATGGAGGGAAAAGCCAGAATGTAGTTGTGTTGTTGTTGTTCGCCGCTTCGATGCATTCCCTTCTCTCCCCGGCATCGTCCCACACAGAAAGAAAGAGCGCAGAGCCCCGGTCCGACCTGTACTGTAGGTCCGCTAACGTAAAGCGAGGAGTTGAGCCTGAACTGGCGAACCGAAGTCACTTTCGGAATCATACTTCCTTACAGCTAACACGTGTCCAGTCCAGCGCAGCGCAAACGAACGTGAGCTGCTATACCGAATCCCCCGCTGGCCATCGGGGACCGAGTGGTAAGGCCATGATCCGCAGGGGAACGGATCACTCATTCTTCCATTGGGGACAGGTGCACGAACGACAACTCCAAACGTCACACATCCGCCGCCTACCTACCGTTTAGGTGGCACCAGCGAGATCCAGCTAAGGAAAAAAAGTGTCGCGGCTGCTCCACTCCGCCGCGGTCTCATGAACTGAACTTCGTTGCCTTCCCGCGCGCGAAGCGAATGGGCGCTGTGCTGTGGGTCAGTTTCGGGGCGGGGGCTCGAGAGACCAGAAGAATGATTCATTTGGATTGACGAGCACCCCAAAACTAAGAATCAATGGAATGTCTGTCTATCCATGAACATCTATTCTATCTGTATATCTAGGGGATCTATCTATACATATAAAAGTGTTTTATGGCATGATATGATTGCCTAGCCGTAGCCGGCTTATCAGCTGCGCTCAATATGCGGGATTTCTGTTGGATCAGATCTTTCGCTTTGACGGAAGCTTTTGGACCTAGAAAAAAGGACTTTAAGCCTTCGCGCAAGCAAGCGCGAGAGAAGCAAGCAAAGTATAAGCTTTGCCAGAAGCAAGACGAGGAAGCGGAGCTGTCGTATAAGCGGTAGCTTCCCCCGACCGACTAAAATACAACAGTCGCGGCCTACTTTGATTCAAAAGGAAGGCGAAGGGTTTGGACACAAGCAAACGGCTTTCTATCATAGTTGCAAGGGTTCCAAACCTTAACTACTTAAGTACCAAAGGCAGCTTTCGGTTGGTTTCATAAGGGGGCTGTTCACTACAAGCTATCAGCGCTGTCTTAGATTGAACGGCAATAAGATAAGTCGACGTTCAATCTCTAAGGCGGGTTTCCGCTGAGAACGGAATAGTGTTCGTGCCCAAAGGTGAACAACAACACCCTAGCTTCTAGAGTTCGCTGCTTTTCCCAGGCCGGAGAAGGGCTGCTCGCCTTTGTTTGGTTTGATATATTCATTCAGTACCAATACAAACTAAAACTACACCAAAGTGGAAGGGCCGCTATAGAAGCTAGAAGTAGCCTATAGTATAGTAGTCGGCCTAACCAAAGCGTCACGACAACAAAAAATTACCCTTATGAATGGAATCTTAAGTAGGAGGGCCCGCCCGCCTACCAATCAAAGAGGCGGAGAGAGTCAGCGTAAGCTCACCCGTAAGCTCGAAGAGCTTTCTCCGCCAGAGAAAGTATAGAAGGGGAGAAGCGACTCGTCGTAGAAGCTTCGCTTCCGGGACGAAGCCAAGCCTAAAAGATCGGCTTGGCGCAGGAGGTCAAGCATTCTGAGCTGGAAGGAGGCAAGCAAAAGAAGGAAGGCATTACTACGGGCCGACTACAAGAAGCAAAGCTTCGTAGACTCGATAAGTCGCTTATAGAATGCCGACTACTAAGTGAAGACTTTCCACTTTTTTTTAATAAGGGAAGCGAAGCTTAGCGAGCTTTATAAGGCCGACCGCTACATAAGCCGCTGACGGAAAAAGCTCGAAGAGCTTCCCTTCATTCGCTTCGCGGGAGCCGCACAGCAAACACATAGCTGGAAGTCAGAGGGCCCATACTACCTGCCTAACCCCCTTCGCTCCGAGGGACCGTAGATCGGAAAGCGCCTTCTAAACCACCCCATTCATCCAAAAGAGAAGGGAAGGGGCCTATGTATTTGCATGACCCCTGCAGATTTTACCCTATCTACACCCGGAGCCAATCCCCTATCGGTCCTGCCACCACGCCGCAGAACGAGAGCTCGTGTGGAACCTTTTCTTTCTGGCGTAACGGCGGTGGAACGTAACAAAATATTACGGTCGCGTAACATAAGGGCCGGAGGTACGGTAAACTCGGCCAAAATATGACACCCGAAGGGCCCGGCACGCACAATCCTATCCTATCCGAGTTTACCCCTTGCATGCACTTCGGACAGCCGGCCGTAGCATCATAAGGAGGACCTCCCTTTCGAGGTAAAAAAAAAGGTACGGTACATAGGGGGTTGGTCTTTCTCAACGTGGTGTATAGCACGAAAAACCTTTCGATACAAGATAGGGCCGTTCTCACATGAAAGAAGAGAAGAAAGGATTGATTCTCTTTTTTCTCTTTCTCGAGGAGGAAAGAGAAATAGAGTCTTATGGGGGGAGAGGGAACATTCGGGCGCATTTATAAAAATCCTCCACTGCATCCAGAATCACAAGTGGAACGCTAAGCAGGGGTGGGAAGGCAGCGAGCTCCGCAACAAAAGCAAAGCGAGCCCCTTACTTACCTCTCTCTATAAAGCCCTATTAGTAAAGCTTGAAAGCCGTTGCGCGCTAGTAGCGCGCATCCGTTTTTCAGCTGGCTTCAAAGTGCTAGTTGTAGCGCGCTAGCGCCCCCATAGAGTAAGGCTCTTCTGTGGAGTCGCACTCCACGAGCCTTGTCTTCCCTCCAACGACTAGCTTCCCTTTCTTGTTCCGGTCCGACAACGAGGACGCTGCCCTTCTCCCGCCGTGGAAGGACTTCAGCCTGTGGTGTGGTTCAACCCATGGGCTAAAGCCCTCATCCCCCCCATTGTTCAGTGCTCCCTGCTGCTTCCGCTGGGCTTTACCCGTCCCCGGCGCGGACGCGGGCTTCTATAATATAAGAGAATGAGAAGCTCTCAACACAAGAAAACGCGAACCGCGCGGAGCCCGCCCGAGTTCGTTTTCTGCCGCCACTGGCCGGCCGCGGGGGAAACACAGCCCGGCCCCCCTCTCGGGAAACGGGGGTGGGGTCCAACAAGCACTTGCTGCAGAGGGGGCCCACAAGCACCCGGCCCGCCCCTTCTTCTTCAGTAAAGCCGACTTCTTTTTCGCCAGTGCTGACGCAGTGCGCACGTAGATAAGGAAAGCAAAATCCCAGCGATCGGGGGGAAGGGAAAGACTTGGGCCTACCTATCCCGATAGGACCTCATAAAGGAACGGGAGCTGTTGAGAGGTTCCATAGGCAGCACTTTTGTACGTGATCGTAGTATGTCACGTCGTCTCGTCCCCGCTGCATTGAAGAGTACCTATGCACTATGTTCCGGTTCACTGATAAGGAAGATAGAGTTGGGGTGGGGGTCTACGATGTGATACTCAAGTATGACCCGGGGAGATACATGCTAACTATGGGTAGGAAGCAGGAACCCTTATGTAAATAACTTCGGGGGGTTACAGATCTCTTATACTACCATCGATCGACAGAGCGGAACGACCAGAAAAAGAAGTGAAGTTAGAAAGCCGTATGATAGGTGGTAACTATCTTGTACGGTTCGGGGGGTAATCGGCGTACTCCGATCAGTGGGGGGGATCTTTGGCTCTATCGAACATACAGGGAATTGGAGGTAGCATTCTACCGATGTTAAGTCATGGACTGGTTTCTTCAGCCCTTTTTCTATGTGTTGGTGTTCTATATGACCGACATAAGACTCGACTTGTTAGATATTACGGAGGTTTAGTGAGCACCATGCCGAATCTCTCTACCATTTTCTTTTCTTTTACTTTGGCCAATATGAGTTCACCTGGTACTAGCAGCTTTATCGGGGAATTTCCCATCTCAGTAGGAGCTTTCCAAAGAAATAGCTTAGTAGCCACATTAGCCGCGCTTGGGATGATTTTAGGCGCGGCGTATTCCCTTTGGCTATATAATCGTGTGGTTTCTGGAAATTTAAAACCCGATTTCCTCCATAAATTCTCCGATTCAAATGGCAGAGAAGTTTCCATATTTATACCTTTTCTTGTTGGAGGGGCGACCGTCCGTTGAACTACCAAAGAAAAAAAGGGTAAACCAATGTGATCATGACGTTGTAGGTGCTTGCGATGGGACGGATGCGACTTCCCTCAGTTGGTTTGGGTGGCATAGCCCGTTGCAGAAGTCCCCCCCTTTTTTTTATTTCTTTTTTTAGTCTTTAGGGAGCCAAAGCTTTACCTTACTAATAAAATAAGGCTCGCGCAGGGGCGCTCACTTTTTTTTGGCTAAGCCGTATCTTTCTGGGTGGGACCGAGAGAAAGAAAGGGCGGAGGGCAACCATGCATGGTACTTCTCGACCGTGTCTCCGAGGGACAGTTGAACAAGCGACTCATGAATGCTGCCGGGTTGGACGAGCCAATAACTCGAACGCGTTCGGTCTGTTTTTTGAGTAAGAATCACAGCGTTACCTTACCTTCACCATGATACGGACTCCAAGTTCTTATGGCAGAGCACGAGGAGATTGATCATCAATATGATGATGGGAATGGAAACCAGAAGCACGACCGGGGCCTTCGTAGTCCAAAATAATCAAACCATCAATAACAGTAACGTAAGCATGAGACTTTTTGGTAGTACCGGTGAACCAGATGGCCGCGGCGATGGAATCTGGGACGGAGGACTCGTAGTATCTCTCTAGATCTGGCAAAAGCGAAAGACCCCCTAACGTAATTCGAATGGAGGCTGACCGCTGAGCCCGCTCCGGCCTCGCAGGGCGGGCCCCTGTGGTTGCGAGCTGGAGCTGCCATAGCTTATGGCTAGAGCAATGGGAGGAGCCCCAGCAGAGAGAACAGTAAGGATAACGAGCGCTCCGCCCGTCAAGCGGGCGGCAGGAGCTGCGGGCAAGTGCTTGGTAGGCCAACAGACCAGTGAACCGGGCGGGGCACTCGACGAAAGGGGGGCACACTGAGCAAGTACGAGAAATTGGCCCCGCTCCGCTTTATTAAAAGCAAGGACCACTACGGGAGGTCAAACCAAGGACCTATGGAAGTCGGGGCTCGTCCCCGGTCAATATTGGATCAAACAATAGGGGGCCGTAGCACTGACCTCTTTTTTTTTATTCAATACAATAGGGGAAAAGATCGTACAGTTCCCTACCGAGACAACAGAAACTCTCAACGGATCCTCCGCGCGCTGGGCATACCTCTTCCGTGCGCCTTTATCGTGGCGGGAACAGAACAACAGGGAAAGACCCGGCCGATCTGCCCAGGGCGAGCTTTATTTAAGAGAGAATGGGGAGTGAATCGAAAGGCTTCCGTTTCCGTTCTTGGTTTGGGGGCTTTCGGGATCCTCTCGATCTTATTCGTAGTTGGGAAGGGGGAAGGAGTCTAAATCAATGGACATTAATGAACCATCATTGATGGACGTTGCACATGACACGATCAATTCGACTCAAGGCCTGGCACTAATAGAGGTAGCTTACTCTCCTAGTAGCGAAGAAAAAGGGCAGGGCCTGAATTCAGACCAGACCAGACTCTTCTTTGTTTGAGCTGCTCCCACGCACGCAGACCGGAAGATCTCAGTTGTCCTGGACTGGACAAGTACGTAGAGATCTTCGTGGGACCGGGGAGGGAGTCTCAATCGATCTTTTCTAGGATTCCTTATCACGCCACGCACGGAGATCTTTCCATTGATAGATAAGAGAAAGGGCTCCCCCCTTGAACAGACTCTTAAAGGTTAGGTTACTACCTGCCTCTACGGAAGAGGTGTACTTTGTACCGCCCGGAGGTCATATAGATCGGAACCCGGAGCGATAAGAACGAAAGCCCTACCCACAGCTAAAACTACTGGCGTTTCAAAAGGCTTAGATTCTAAGGGCGCTACTGAAAGCCTTTGGTACTTCGGTAGGGCGAGCAGCCCTTAAACCAAAAAAAGGTTTGGAACCCTTCCCCTATTTCTACATTTCATTCTCTATTCGGCCCACCTCAAAAAAATGAGAAAAAAGGAGAGGCCTATTGATTCGAAGTCACTACGAAAAGGTCGGTCAATAGCATAGCTCTTTCTTTTCTTTTTCGGGTCTCCTTTCGAAGGAAAGGCCTTCGCATTCCTAATCCGGTAGGGCCGGACGGCTTTGTTTGCCCCAGCTTAGCTTGGCGAATCGCATCCTCGCGCAACGACATTTTTTGTTTTGTGCACCCCTTACCGTTCTCGCTCAGTGTTTGCAACGGCTGGGGAGGCAGTCGTAGAAGCGAAGCCTATCGCCACGCCGACCATCAAATACGAGATTGGGCCCCTTCTCAAAGATTTGATGGAATGGCCTAGCCCACCCAAGAGCGCTTATGTCATATGGGAACTCATGGCTGGAAAAATCCTTATGGTTTTTATATCCGGTAGGAATAATAAGAATCAAAGTCCAGGTTGGTTGGTGAGCCTAGTGATAGGAAACTATCTAGCTTGGTTCGGAGAGCACTTGTTGGGTTAAAGATTTTTTTTTCTAAAAGTTACGGCCTAAATGCTGAACTATTGACCCTACTTGTTTGGATGGGTGTTCACCCCAAAGTGTTCCCGGACTGCATGCATACATCCGTAAGTAACTTAGTGCAACATGGCAAATTTCATTGAGAGGAATCAGCAAAGAAAAGAAAAACGGGTCAACATCTTAATGTTTATTTGTAAATTGGAAGAAAAAGATGTTCACAGGGTTAGCCTACCAGGAAACAAAGTGGACTGGGAAGAAAAAAGGGGGGAAGGACAA